TGGAATCTAAAAAACAAGCAAACAAAAACAAAGCATAAATACAGGACAGAAATAGACTCATAGACAGAGAAAACAGACTTGTGGTTGCCAAGGGGGCGGAGGGCGGGAAGGGATAGACTGGGATTTCAAAACTGTAGAATAGATAAACAAGATTATACTATATAGCACAGGGAAATACACACAAAATGTTATGGTAGCTCACAGAGAAAAAATAATGTGACAATGTGTGTATATGTCCATGTATGACTGAAAAATTGTGCTGAACACTGGAATTTGACACAACATTGTAAAATGATTATAAATCAATAAAAAAATGTTAAAAAAATGTTCTCTTTGGGGCTTAAATTAGATATGTACTCTGGGAAAGAAGTGTCTTGTCATTCAGTGTTGCTTATGTCACGTACATCTCTTGTGTAAAATCCTCAGTTTTGTTCTTTTTCTCTTCTGATCCTTAATAGAGCTGGTTCTTATGATTGAAAGTATATGATACAGTACATGGGGTCGGGTATGTAGAAAGTAGGCATCTTCCTTGCCCCCCTCCAGCCCCAGTGATTTCTCATCGATACCTAAGATTATTTGATAGCTCTTTCGAGATAATAAAGCATAGCTTCTTTAATACGCTGCCCATCGTAATGGTTTTTGCTAAGCAGGAAAATTTTGAAAACTTTTTACTGTGTGTATTAATACTTACCAGAATGTTAAATGCTCATTTGACTGTCACGGCTCAGCTGCACAGCTCCCAGTTTTGCTAAAAGTAAAACCGTATGTTGAATTGACGACCATTTTTAAAAGAGAATTATCTTAAAATAGAGCATATTACTCAGTAATACAGCAGTCAAAGTGGATAGGTAGTGAGATCGTGTTGCCCAGAAGATATTAACAGGTCTTCAGAGTTCAAGAGCAACTTAAGGAAGTCGCCTTTTTTATTTATGTTCTTGTGACTTAACCATTAATAACGTAGCCCTTGCTCCATGCAAGGCGCTGTCCTGAGTGCTTTACAAACACTAGTCCATGTAATGATCCTGTGAGGTAGGTATTGTTATCATCCCTGTTTTAAGGATGAAGAAAGCAAAACACAGAGGAGTGGAATGACCCGAGATTTGACCTCAAGTACTCTGGCTCCTGAGCGCGTGGGTTATCTCAGTGTTGTCTCTCTGAGTTTGTGAATTAGAAATCCAAAGTCCAGCCCTTTGCTAAAAAACGCAAAATAAAACACACACGCGCGCACACGCGTAATTAATGTTACCAGTTTTTTGTATCAAGATTTGTGATTGAGCTTTTACATGAAATAGTCTTGGAATTTTAGAACTGAAAATAATCTCAGCGATAGCTTCATCGCAAAGCCGTTAGTAATTGATAAATTAGCATGGTTTACAGTCGTCATCAAGTTGGGTTCATCCCAGGGACACAAGAGTGCTCCAACATACGCAGATCAGTCAGTGTGATACACCCCATCAGCAGGAGAAAGGACACAAACCACATGATCGTCTCAGTAGATAACAGTGCTTCAGAGTTGAGTGGTGTTAAGGGTGAATACAGAGGTTGCTTTTTTTATGATGGTAGACTGCTTCTTTTCCGAGATAGAGGGTAACCCATTTCAATGCAGAAGAGAGTGCCAAGCCAGGTCGGTGTAGTAGTTTTGCACTATTCTTGACACTAGCCTGGCTAGTATGTGATAGATGTAGGGGTCAGGACACAGAGGGTGTGTCAGGTTCAAGGTGAGACTGAAATCAAAGAGTGAAACAGATGTTAGGGTCTAGCAACAAATTAACTGACGAATATAGTTTTTTTTTAAGGTTGAAATAAATTTTAGGCTGAGGAACTTTTATTTTAATAAAAGCATCACAATGGAATTTTGCTGTTTGTAAATAGAAGATTCTGGTGTATTTGACTGAAATTTTTCTCTTATCTCACAGTGAAAAAGGCAATACTGTTCCCGGATATGATTTTTTGGTGAATTCCGTCTGGCCAGAAATAGTACGAGGATTAGAAGAAAAATTGCCATCACTTTTTAATCCTGGGAACCCCGATGCATTTCACCAGGTACCTTTTCCTCCATCATCTTGATTCTTGAAGATGTTAACCAGAGGCTTTAGAATAATCGTGTTCTCTTCTGCACCGTCTTGGTTCTGTGGTTTATTAAAAACCAAATTTTGAGTTGCTGAGTGAGTGAGCACCTTAAAATCCACATGTTGTTTTACGCAAGTCACTGTCTCTGATACTTTGGGGACTAAGGATATTTTTAGAATGAATGTAGAGTAAAATTCAGTCTAGACGTAATTATGACTTAGAAATGTATGTTATTTTTTAACTTTTGAAAAAAGATCCCAAGGACCATTAAAAACAGTCTCTTTGCAGTTCTTTTCCGTGAGAAATTA